CACCTCCAGTTTGTAGAGGAGGACCGCAGCTTTCCAAAGTCATCTCACTTTCCTGGATCTGATGCTCGGAGCTCGCGGGAGAAGCAAGTGAAGGTTGAAATTTCCTACCAAAAATGCACGGCAAATGCAAACAAGTCGTGCGTAATTTGCTTATAGCTCCGCAGGGCGACATCACAGAGACTCCATTCAAGTATCAGCTTGTAACGCAGAACCAGATCTTTAAAACCCGACCAGCCCCTCCGGGATCTGATGCTCCTAGTTTGGGGAGGGTGGTTAAAACCACCCCCCAGCGGAGGTCCAACGGTGCGTAATTTTGGAGGTTTTTCACTTATATCTCCGCGGGGGAACGTCGCAGGGACTTAATTCAATTTTCGCCTTGTAGAGCATAACCAGAGCTTTCAAACAAGACCAACCACTCCGGGATGCGATGCTCAAAGCCGGCAGCAAGGTTGCGCTGCGCGGGCACCTGGAAATCAGCTGGTTGGGCACCCCTGGTTTACACACAAACATGAACAATGACATTTTCTTTGACTTTTAAATGGGTGCAAATAAGTGTCACCTGACTACAAATAGRCATCTCACTCACAGGAGAAACATGAAACATATTTAAGGTTAGACTCTGTGGCTTGTTTACATTTTTGTTTTACAGATTCAAACCCTGAACATAATTTCCCTTGAACTCATAGTTCAAATCTTTTGAAATAAAGTAAATTCAGAAATGTCATACATRWTTTTTGTACAGTTTTTGTATTCYTGGGTTGCAGATGATGTAGTATCGATGTCATGAAAGGCAGATGGGGGGCAGGAAGTAAATGAAGCCATGTTTCCTTCTGTTRATTCAGTGTCAAAATGCCTAAATTCTGTGCCRYGTACAGTTGTTGCAGCAACTCTAATCAGGAGAAATATCAAAGTTTTTTCATGTTCCGAAAGGAGTGTGTCACAAGGGAGTTAAATTTAAAAAACACAGGAAAATTAGGACAAAAGTGGATCAACAACCTATGGCTAATACAGGAGGTGTGGAAACGAACAATGCAACAGTTTGCAGTGACCACTTTCTAACAGGTCAGAATCGTATCATTTAAATCTTATTATCAGAGATTTTCCTGGATAATTACTTGAATTTGAGTTTACAGAAGTTAAAGACATTATTTGCAAGTAGATCCAAGCATATAGAAATATCAGGAGTTAATCTGTTGTTAGCGTTAGCAATACCATTATTATCATAGGCTAACTACTTAAAATAGCACAACTCACCCAGGCAGAAACAAGTCAAMAGCCTTTTAAAGTTCATTTGGATCCTAAATGTTTGACCCAACCTGAAACAAAATAATTGTAGCTTTGAGGAATTTGAAAGCTTTCATTTGCTTTGTTGTGGCCTATAACATGAGGTCTGCAGCACCAGATAGTAGTTTATGTTGATTGCCTCAACACCAGGTAAATCCTCCAGATTATATAACATCTTTTTTTCTTTAAAGGGCCAATATTATGTGTCTCTCAGACATTCATTTAAATACTATACATTAATAAAGTATCTATGTCACATTTAGCTGTTATTAAAAAGCTGTTTTTATGTTTAAATAGAAAATAAACTTAACTTCTCATCACTTCCTCTTCTAAACGCCTTGAAATTGGCCTCTGTCTCTTTAAGAACCACCTTCGGCTTCCGTTTTGCCCATTTCGGTACGGTGGGGGTCGTTGGTGCCATGATGCAGTT